GACATGTACAACTTATGTAGGCAGATTTGTTATAACCACTTTAAGTCTGTGTGCATCCATTTCTAGTGTTTTAGTGTGTACTGTTGCCTCTGCCTCTAATAAAAAAAGCCACAATAAAAAAGGTCAGGATTGGAGGTACATGGGCTAAAGGTTTAGTGTGCAAGTAGCCTTCCCATGTTACCCATGTTCTTTATGTAAAGAGGGATGTTCCTGCAACAAATCCTGAAAATATTTATGCATTAAAGCAAGTTTGCAAGCTGTAATATTCTAACATTCTTCTTATCTCTTGTGCAAGTCTGCAGCTACAGGTATTGTGAGTAGAGTATATTGCTGTATATAGCAGTAACTGCATATAAGAGTTCAAAACACAGACATAAGAAGGAGGCGCTCCAGCCTAGTGCATTACTGTAGGACAATTAATGATTAGAACAAGTCTTTCAATATACTCACAAATGACCTATAAGCATATCAATGTCAATTACACCATCAAAGTAAGTCCAACAAAGGAAGCATCTTACATGTTTCAAGGGTGATGCCCTCTTCCTCAGAGGGCAGAGGGCATCACCATATGATATGTTTATACATCATTGTCATTTGTGAGTATATTGTAAGATTTGTTTTAATCATTAAAGGGTCCTACAGTAGTGCACTAGGCTGGTGCGCTTCCTTCTTATGCTTATGTTTTAGAATTGGATTTCCCTGATTTAAAGAGGGCAGTGAGGCTACAGTGCTTACGGTGGTGATCGATAGTGGATTACGCTGACAAGTTTGAAGATTTGCCCACTTTGAGCCCCAGGAGGAGTTTATGGTTTGGAGGGCCCTTTCACCTGTAGTGCAGACTTCGACTGACTTTTATGGTTTGCATATACATGGGTTCAAAACTTTATCCAGCCTGCATGGTGAATGTTTAAATGATGTCTTTGATAAAGCCATCAATGTTTACAATTCTTTATGTGGTATTAAAAAGATTATGCTATTACTAAGATTTAGTTTAAGAACAGTTCATATATTTGGTAAAAATAACTGACCGCCTTCTCTTACTACCCAAAAATAAATTGTTATGATCAAAATAAATAATTTTAATATTTGTTAACTAACCCCATAGATGTGCAGGGCCACTTATGAATAAAAACAGTGTTAATCATAAAACAACCGTGTTATATGCCAATAACTATATACAGTGCATCCAGAAAGTATTCACAGCACTTAACTTTTGCCACATTTTGTTATGTTACAGCCTTATTCCAAAATGGATTGAAATTAATCTTTCCTCAACATTCTACAAATAATACCCCATAATGACAACGTCAAAGAAGTTTGTTTTGAAATCTTTGAAATTTATTAAAAATAAAAAAATACACATGTACATAAGTATTCACAGCCTTTCCCATGACACTCAGAATTGCGCTCTGGTGCATCCTGTTCCCATTGATCATCCTTGAGATGTTTCCACAACTTGATTGGAGTCCACCTGTGGGAAATTCAGTTGATTGGACATAATTAGAAAAGGCATAAACCTGTCTATATAAGGTCCCACAGTTAACAGTGCATGTCAAAGCACAAACCAAGCCATGAAGTCCAAGGAATTGTCCATGGACCTCCAAGACAGGATTGTGTCAAGGCACAGATCTGGGGAAAGGTACAGAAAATTTTCTGCACTATTGAAGGTTCCAATGAGCACAGTGGCCTCCATCATCCGTAAATGGAAGAAGTTTGGAACCACCAGTAATCTTCCTAGAGTGGGCAGCCCGGCCAAAATGAGCGATCGAGGGAGAAGGGCCTTAGCCAGGGAGGTAACCAAGCACTCGATGGTCACTCTGAAAGAGCTCCAGTGTTTCTCTGTGGAGAGAGGAGAACCTTCCAGAAGAACAACCATATCTGCAGCACTCCACCAATGAGGCCTGTATGGTAGAGTGGCCAGACGAAAGCTACTCCTCAGTAAAATGTAAATGGCAGCCCGCCTGGAGTTTGCCAAAAGGCACCTGAGGGACTCTCAGACCATGAGAGACAAAACTCTCTGGTTTGATGAAACAAAGACTGAACTCTTTGGACTGAATGCCAAGCGTCATGTCTGAAGGAACCAGGCACCGCTCACCACCTGGCCAATACCATCCCTATAGCGAAGCATGGTGGTCACAGCATCATGCTGTGGGGATGTTTTTCAGCGGTAGGAGCTGGGAGACTAGTCAGGATCGAAGGAAAGATGAATGCAGCAATGTACAGAGACATCCTTGATGAAAACCTGTTCCAGAGCACTCTGGACCTTGGACTGGGGCAATGGTTCATCTTTCAACAGACCAACGACCCTAAGCATAACAAAGAGAGGCTACGGGACAACTCTGTGAATCTGGAGAGATCTGAAAATAGCTGTGCACCGACACTCCCCATCCAACCTGATGGATCTTGAGAGGTACTGCAAAGAAGAATGGGAGAAATTGCCCAAAAATAGGTGTGCCAAGCTTGTAGCATCGTACTCAAAATGACTTGAGGCTGTAATTGGTGTTAAAGGTGCTTCAACAAAATATTGAGCAAAGGCTGTGAATACTTATGTACATGTGTTTTTTTTGTTTTCATTTTTAATAAATTGCAGAGATTTCAAAACGAACTTCTTTCACATTGTCATTATGGGGTATTGTTTGTAGAATGTTGAGGAATAAAATGAATTTAATTGAATTTCAACACAGAAAAAATAATGTATGAGAAAGTTATCTTTATGAAAAGTTTGCAAATAATCAAAAGTCCCGCACAAAATTGTGTGCCAAAACGCCTCTTTGTGTTCCACTACTATATGCCAATATATTGCACTCTCCAACCATCCATGACCCCTTACTTATGACCTCTTACTTAAATGAAGGTCAATTGCGCTTTGTGTCACCAGGCTTTATAATATCATTTGATTTCTTCTCTATATTCTCCCCATTTAATTCCGCAGTTTCAAATCAACATATTTCCAATAGCCAGAAACGGAACTGACGTTGACGACCCAGATGTAGCTGGACGTAAACTCTCTACCTCTACATGTTTCATTAATCTGGCATCCTCAGGAAGCTCACATCCGCCATTTTCCCTGGGCCTTATATACTTTGCCTAAATTTCCCATTGGATAATACTAATGAGACTACCATATTATGGCTGCCTACCGGATTCCGATGTAGTGAGCACTTTAGTTTGTCTCAGTGAATTTTTGCCGAGATGTGCATACCTGTCAGGGCTCCCGGATATGACCAGAGGTGTGTGACTGACGCAGGGAAACGCAGACTTCAGATATTGTTATAAAACAATGTAATTTATTAACACTAACCATACAAACATAAACGCAGTGCAATACTAAAACATAACACAGTGCAAACAAACCAACCAACCACCCACAGATAACAGTACATACAATGCAAGCGTCGTCAGGCAGGCCGGGTCAATATCAGTCGGGCAGGTAGGTACAGGGGGAGCAAGCGGAGTATGGTCGGGGTCACAGGCCAGGTTCAGCAGGTAGCGGGCAGCGTGGTACAGAGGGTCAGGCAGAGGAGAATGGTCAGACAAGCCAGGGATCAGAGCAGGGTCAGCAGAGAATCAGACAGGAACAGAGAGCAGGAACAGGATACAGGGCCCAAGAGAAACACAACACCAAGGCAGAGTCTGCAGGTCTGAATGTCCCTTAAATACACCAGTATAATTAGTTCCAGGTGTTTGACTGGCTGCAAGGTTGAGTCTCTGATTGCTGGGAGCACCCGCTGGCCAGCCCTGGTACTGCAGCTCATAAGGCAGCTGAGTCCCACTATTGCTGGCCAGTCCATTCCTGACAGTACCCCCCCCCCCTCAAGGACGGCCTCAGGACGCTCCAAACAGTCCTAGCTGGGCAAAATGTTCCACCGCCCGGGTCTGGTAACTGGCGGGATATCAAAGACCGGCACACCGGGCAGGAACTCCGGGCAGCGGCACACCGGGCAGAGGCACATCGGGCTAGACTCCAGGCAGAGGCACATCGGGCTGGACTCCGGGCAGAGGCACATTGGGCTGGACTCCGGGCAGAGGCACATCGGGCTGGACTCCGGGCAGAGGCACATCGGGCATTACTCCGGGCAGAGGGCACATCGGGCAGGACTCCGGGCAGAGGCACATCGGATTACCAGGCGAAGCAGCAGGCAGCGGGCCACCAGGCGGAGCAGCAGGCACCGGGCCCCCAGGCGGGGCAGCAGGCACCGGGCCCCCGGGCGGAGCAGCAGGCAGCGGGCCCCCGGGCGGAGCAGCAGGCACCGGGCCCCCGGGCGGAGCAGCAGGCACCGGGCCCCCGGGCGGGGCAACAGGCATCGGGCCCCCGGGCGGCGACCGGCATCGGGTCCCCAGGCGGGGCGACCGGCATCGGGCCCCCAGGCGGAGCGGCGGGCGCCGGGCCCCCAGGAGGGGCGACAGGCATCGGCCCCCAGGCGGGGCGACAGGCGTCGGGCCCCCAGGCGGGGCGTCGGGCCCCCAGGCGGGGCGACGGGCGTCGGGCCCCCCCCCAGGCGGGCGACGGGCGTCGGGCCCCCAGGCGGAGCGGCGGGCGCCGGGCCCGCAGGAGGGGCAACAGGCAATCGGGCCCCCAGGCGGGGCAACAGGCATCGGGCCCCCAGGCGGGGCAACAGGCATCGGGCCCCCAGGCGGGCAACAGGCATCGGGCCCCCAGGCGGGGGGCAACAGGCAGCGGGCCACCAGGCGGAGCAGCAGGCACCGGGCCCCCGGGCGGGGCAACAGGCATCGGGCCCCCAGGCGGGGCGATCGGCATCGGGTCCCCAGGCGGGTCGACCGGCATCGGGCCCCCAGGCGGAGCGGCGGGCGCCGGGCCCCCAGGAGGGGGCGACAGGCGTCGGGCCCCCAGGCGGGGCGACAGGCGTCGGGCCCCCAGGCGGGGCGACAGTGTCGGGCCCCCAGGCGGGGCGACAGGTGTCGGCCCCCCAGGTGGGGCGACAGGCATCGGGCCCCCAGGCGGAGCAGCGGGCGCCGGGCCCCCAGGAGGGGCGACAGGCATCGGGCCCCCAGGTGGGGCAACAGGCATCGGGCCCCCAGGCGGCGCAACAGGCATTGGGCCCCCAGGCGGGGCAACAGGCATCGGGCCCCCAGGCGGAGCGGCGGGCGCCGGACCCCCAGGTGGAGGCGACAGGTCTCGGGCCCTCAGGCGGAGCGACAGGTCTCAGGCCCCCAGACGGGGCAGCGGGCGCCGGACCCCCAGGCGGAGCGACAGGTCTCGGGCCCCCAGGCGAAGCGGTGGGCACCGAGTCACCAGGCACGACAGTGGGCTCCGAGTCAACTGGCATGACCGCTGGCACTGGGTCAGACATTGGATCGTCTGGCTGGACAGCGGGCATCGGGTCACCAGGCATCAGGTCATTTGGCTCGACAGCGGGCACCGCGTCATCTGGCAAGGCAGTGGGCTCCGAGTCAACTGGTATGACCGCGGGCACTGGGTCAGACATTGGATCGTCTGACTGGACAGCGGGCATCGGGTCACCAGGCATCAAGTCATTTGGCTCGACAGCGAGCACCGCGTCATCTGGCAAGGCAGTGGGCTCCGAGTCAACTGGCACGACAGTGGGCACCGGGGCAGACAGGTACCGAATCGTCTGGCTCGACAGCGGGCATCGGGTCACCAGGTATGACAGCGGGCACTGGGTCACCAGGCATCAGGTCATTTGGCTTGCCAGCGGGCACCGCGTCATCTGGCAAGGCAGTGGGCACCGGGTCACCAGGCATTGGATCGTCTGGCTCGACAGCGGGCATCGGGTCACCAGGTATGACAGCGGGCACTGGGTCACCAGGCATCAGGTCATTTGGTTCGCCAGCGGGCACCGCGTCATCTGGCAAGGCAGTGGGCACGAGTCACCAGGTACGACAGCGGGCTCTGAGTCAATTGGCACGACAGCGGGCACCGGATCAGGTACCGGATCATCTGGATCAACAGCGGGCATCGAGTCAACTGGCCTAATAGGATCGTCGTCAGTTCATCAGGCTGGCATCATTAGGCATCCGGCTGAGTAGATCATGCTGGGTAGAGGCATCAGGCCGAGTAGAGGCATCAGGCTGCGTACAGGCATCAGGCTGAGTACAGGCATCAGGCTGGGTACAGGCATCAGGCTGAGTAGAGGCATCAGGCTGGGTACAGGCATCAGGCCGAGTACAGGAATCAGGCTGGGTACAGGCATCAGGCTGAGTAGAGGATTCAGGCTGAGTAGAGGCTTCAGGCTGAACCACGGAAGGCTTCAGTTCTCAGACGGCAGGTTCACCGGTTTGGATACTGGCAGGATGGTATTGGTTGGAAAGAATTTTCGCTTTTTTCTGGTTTTAACTACTGGAGCACTGCAAGTAAACGCAGGTCTGCAAACGAATGGAGCAGCTGGAGACAGAGAAGAACTGGAGGATGGAACAGGAGAGGGAGCAGTTGCTACAGAGGGCTTTTTTACAGGGTTAAAGGCAGGATAGGTGCAGCGAGTGGGAACAGGGTACTGACATGCGGTAGATAGCAGGGCAGGAGGAGCTGTTGGGAATGCAGGAATAGAGTTTTGAGGAAATAGATTAGAAGCAGGACTGGGTTTTTGTAAGCTGACTGAGGCTGGGTGCAACAAGTCTGTCCATGTCTGCAGTATGGGTTGAACAAAGCTGAGCTTACACAAAGCCTGTCTGACCAAAGACTGCACTGCGTTTTATACAATCTCTTAGTGTCTGTGGTGAACATGTGGAATAACGCTCCAGAAACCCTAAAAGTAACCCACATCATCCTCTAATAACCACACCAGGGACTCTACCTGGTCTGCACTAAATGGTGGCAAAAATTCATCCCTGCATTCGGGGGTACCAGATGAAACCAACTCAGCACAAACCTCAATCAAAGGCTGCACCTCAGAGAACTCTGTGCCCTGATCTACTAGAACATGAGCGAGCCGTATACATTCTAGCAGTTCATACCGGGTATACTCCTTCAGAGTTTGATAAGCATACTCCCTGTCATCAAACACTAGCAGATATAAATACGCAACCTCATCAAGATCCATCCTTCCCATCAACAAGCCAAGATGGCTTCCCTGTGCAGCCACTTCTGGTCAGGATTGGCCTTGGTGTAATGTCAGGGCTCCCGGGTGTGACCAGAGGTGTGTGACTGACGCAGGGAAACGCAGACTTCAGATATGTTATAAACAATGTAATTTATTAACACTAACCATACAAACATAAACGCAGTGCAATACTAAAACATAACACAGTGCAAACAAACCAACCAACCACCCACAGATAACAGTACATACAATGCAAGCGTCGTCAGGCAGGCCGGGTCAATATCAGTCGGGCAGGTAGGTATCAGTCGGGCTATCATGTGTCCACTACAGCTATAATGATATCTCATTTCATGCACTTTGATGTATGATTTTAGCCTTGTTTTACTGATGTAATAAAGCTTTTCAAATTTTAATGTTCTTGTGTTGTATGTTCCTGTTAAGCCATATTTAAAGTCTCATACTATTTTGATTTCTCCATTCCCCAAATTTTGGGTCCTGGAAAACAAAGTTGGGAGTAATTTACGAAGAAGGGATGGTGCCATATTGGGAAGTATGAGGGATGATTTCACCCATGTTTCATTTTATATAAAGACGTTTAATAGTCTTCAGTCTTCTAAGGTAATGTGTGTGTGTCAGGAATGTACTGGCCAGCAATATTGGGACTCACCTGCCTTATGAGCTGCAGTACCAGGGCTGGCCAGCGGGTGCTCCCAGCAATCAGAGACTCAACCTTGCAGCCAGTCAAACACCTGGAACTAATTATACTGGTGTATTTAAGGGACATTCAGACCTGCAGACTCTGCCTTGGTGTTGTGTTTCTCCTGGGCCCTGTTTCCTGTTCCTGTTCCTGTTCCTGTCTGATTCTCTGCTGACCCTGCTCTGATCCCTGGCTTGTCTGACCATTCTCCTCTGCCTGACCCTCTGTACCACGCTGCCCGCTACCTGCTGAACCTGGCTTGTGACCCCGACCATTCTCCGCTTGCTCCCCCTGTACCTACCTGCCCGATTGATATTGACCCGGCCCTGCCTGACGACGCTTGCATTGTATGTACTGTTATCTGTGGGTGGTTTGGTTTGTTTGCACTGTGTTATGTTTTAGTATTGCACTGCGTTTATGTTTGTATTGTTAGTGTTAATAAATTACATTGTTTATAACATATCTGAAGTCTGCGTTTCCCTGCGTCAGTCACACACCTCTGGTCACACCTGGGAGCCCTGACATAAACACTATAGCTTAATCCTTGTGCCTGTATACAATACTGTGGTATTGACAATGTAATTGTATAACGTTCTTTAGTAATTGCCTTTGTTGCCTGGACCTCAGTAGTGGGTGCGGAGTCTGGGGCCCTCGGATGGTGTCCACGTTGGATGAGTGTGTGCGGCATGGGAGGTAAGTGAGCATCACCCATAGCATTGGAGACAATGGCAGGTTCTCCTTCTGGTCTTTTGTGTGTCTGCGCATGCACAGGTGCCCCAGTGGTACATTACAAAGCCACCCCGGCATACTCGCTTGGCTGGATGTGGTGCACGTGCACCAGGGGCCTGCGCAAGCAGCGCAGGGGTGACATTGCATGCCATACATGGTGGGTGTGTGCCCTTGGTCAGGATGCATTTTAGCTGGCGTGGTTGACGGGTTCAGCTGTGGGATTCCTCATCATGGAGGTGTAAGGCATTATGCGGCTCCTTTTTTGCCAGTGGACAGCCCACATTCTCCTTACGAGGTATACACTATGGTGCTTTTGTTGCCTTATATACAAACTCTTTAGGCTTTATAATTGGTGATACATGTTAGAGCCAAACTTGTTTGGCCATTTAACCTGGAGGCCTTACATATGTCTTACAGCTAACTCGGCTTTTATGGGGGATTATTAGGATTGCTTTGGTCCAGGGATGTGGATGATCTTACAAGCTCTAGAACTGTGCATGCCAGCTGGATCTACTATATTATTAAGACATATTGCTACCTTTGGTAATTATTCGCAAGTTTGTTTACTCCTTAGATCCACTGCAAGACCCTGAGGAAGAGATCTTTGTTGCAAAACATGTTGGGCCAAATGTAATAGTGGAACCCCCCATATCTGAAGAAAGTGGACCATTTCATCTCCACCTAGGGTCCAATATCAGCAATTCGAAACTCAATCAATGATATTTTTTACACAAGCTATAAGAATAAAGAAATACATGGTTGTATATATTGTGGTACTGAGTTTATGTGCCTAGAAAGTCCATATTTGCTGCATTTAGATTTTGATCTTTGAATCTGGGACATGGCACTACTACGTCCATTTGGTGTGACCATTAGGCACCTGATTTTCGCCCAACTCCTTTAATCAATTCGCAGGAGGAATGACATCATATCCGGGTTACTTCTCAGATGTGACATAGCGGGATGTAATGTGAATACCTGGTTTGATGGGATGTGTGGAACAGTGGGCCAGGATGCGGTCTTTTTTCCACTGGCATATATATTAAGCTAGCATCCTGTGGATGATGCCATTTTCAGCTCAGGGGCAGGTGAGTAAATGGTCCTCATATGAGAATTGGTATTGTTGCTTGACTATGGATTTGGATGTGGTGAGACTGTTGTCTTATGGGCTGATCTTCCCTAGCTTTGTCTCTCTTTTTTTGTTAATTTGTAGAATAAATTTTATTTGCACATTATGATATATATATATATATATATATATATATATATATATATATATATATATAGTGACCTCTACCCCTGAAGTGCATCTCTGTGCCAATAGTGTTAGGCATCTGAGATATTACAGACATTTTGTGGCTAGGTATGCTTATATATGATGTGTACTCGCTTTATAGAATTGCATATTTGTGTGTTGTTATTTATAGATACTATTATCTTTTCAGAGACACACTGTTTATTTCATGAGAATTTTTGGCTTATTGATGTAACATCTCTATCTATTATTCATGCTACTATTTATTAGCCCTTGAGGTAAGCCTGGGCATCTGGCAGCGCTTTGGTGCGCTATTTAGTATTACTCCCCATAGCTAGCTTATCTGGTGGTCTGATTGATGGTGTGGAGAGTGGGGTACAGTATATGTTGGGGTGTGTATGTGGTTGAAAGGGAGGGGGGATTGTCTGAGAGGTAATTTTATGAGTGTTTATATTTTCTTCCTTCCTGTCTCCTTGTCCAAGCAAACACCGTGAGAATTTTTTTCGGTGTGTTTTGTATAATTATATACTCACCGGCCACTTTATTTGGTACACCTTGCTAGTGCCAAGAAAATATCCCCCACACCATTAAACCACCACCAGCAACCTGAACCATTGATACAAGGCAGGATGGATCCATGCTTTCATGTTGTTTATGTCAAATTCTAACCCTACTATTTGAATGTCGCAGCAACTAGTCTGCTCATTCTCCTCTGACCTCTGACATCAACAAGGCATTTGCATCCACAAAACTGCCGCTCACTGGATATTTCCTCTTT